ATGTCCCCCAATCAGCCTCCAACCTTGTTGTCCACCAGTTACAGGTGGGTGACAGAGTCTGGATAGAAGTCTTTAGTGGTAGTCATCTGTACTCAGCTTCTCCAGAAACAACCTTTTCTGTGATCATGATCAATGGATCAGGTTAAGACCAACAAGGTCTTTTGGTGCTTTATTTTATTCTAAACCGAAACTTACTTCATAAATTGAAAAAAATGCCGACTGAATTAAATCAACAATAACCGATAACTAATGAATATGAAAGAACATTAAAAATTCACTAAAAACCACCAAATGTGATGTTTCCAATATTACTGATATGATTTCTTAGTATTATATTGTATCCATTAAATGTTTACATGTTGCTGTAAATGACATTTTGTAATGGACCTGAATTAAAGTCATTTTGTTCTAATCCTTCAACTTCGACCTTCAAAATAGACATACTCTTAATGTTGTTATCAATAATGTGTACACCTTCTTTTTCCACTGTTCATTTTAAGACATTCCTCTATTTATTTCTTTACGTTTTTACTTCGGTATTCTCCGTGTAACTTCGTATCTAAAGAAACTGGTTTTTCATGCACGAGCGGTTTAGCGCTCACTATAAATACTTTTACCGGGGAATGTTCGATTAATGCGACGTTCGTTACAAAGAATCGCAGGTTGTAGTAAGTCTTTGGCTTTCCCTGCCCTCCCAGCCCTTGCATTGTTTATTTTGTAAAATTTATTGAGTTTGATTTGTATGTTTTGGAATAAAAATGCGATTTGTAACGAACGCAACAATCCTACAGTATATTCTTTTTTTTTGTTTTTCAATAAATTAGTCAAGAAAATATTTATTTGCGGAGGAGTGAAACGAGGGAGAAAATAACATCATTTAAGAACAAGATAGGGTAAGACCAGTATTTGGTCCCAGACTTTGGATGTCTTTCAGAATGATCCAACAGTTTATCCATAAAAACCTATTGTCCCTGCCACAAAATGAGTATTAGTTCTAAGATTTAGAATATACAGGGGTCACAGTGAGGTCAGGAAATAGGTTAATTTTGAAATTTCTCATTTTTATGCAAATTTTCATCGATTTTACAGCGCATTTTGTTTCGTTTAACATAGATCACACGTTTGCCTATCTACCAAAATTTATATATTTTATACACTCATATCAGATGCAGTTTATGTGAAAAATTTCAGATAGGCAAGCTTCTTATTTTAATGATGAATATGATAAATTCCACCAGAATTGAGGAAATTCTGTAAAATGCAAAAGACCTACTTCTGCACCCTCTAGTTGCTTCAAAGTTAGCTTTGAATCTAAATTAGTGCTTGTTTTAAAGTAAGCATCGATTCCCTTTTAACTTCTTAACAACAAACTATCACAATTTTACCAGTGTTCTCATTTTAAAATCAAATAAAGGGCCTGATTCGGCCAATACCCTATCTTGTCCTTTAGTATTGTGATGCAATTATACACACATTATAAATTATTATGCTTCCTGTCAGTTTGTCTCTAGCTCTATATAACCCATGCTCTACTATTTATATAATAGTGTTGTGTTTTGCGTGCACTATCCCTAAATAGTAGTCAGATTAAAATATATTTTAAATCTTTTCAAGAAAAGCAAAGACATGGTTATTGATAAGTGATACTAGTATTTATATGGAAGCATTTTGGGGTAAGGTAAAATTTAAAATTTTGTTAAATCATAACCCCCTAAGGTAGGTTGGGGCAACAATGGTGGATCAAAGTTTTACATTGAAAAATAAAAGGAAAAGTCCCAAGATCAGAAAAGCTATTTTAAGCCATATTGATATGTAAACATCATCGTGTATTAAAGATTTAAATTATTCAAATCATGGCCCTTTGGGGTAGTGGGGGAAACAATGGGGAATCAAATTCCGGTAAATTCAAAATTTAGAACATGACAATTACTTTTGAATGACATATGATAGGGCGTTAATATTTGACACAATGTGCCAAAAATAATGGCATTCCATCAACTAAGACACTGAAAGCGGGGACCACAAATCTTTGAATTCGCTTGTTTAAATCAAATAGGGAAAAATGTTATCTTATTAGTAACATTTTCTAATAATTAATTTTTGTTTGTATTCTAGTCTCTCATTGGTTGACTTCCAAAAAGGAACGCAAAATATTTCTCAATAATCCGGTTTGGTATGGGGACACACCCCCTTTGCAACCAGCTGAATCATCTATATCCATGCAATCCCCTCATTTTCAGTCCTTTGGATTCATGAAAAATTCCAGATTTAACAAATGAACCTAAACTTCAAATAGTAGCTCGATCTTACCTCGTATAAACAAACATCACGGCTGCTAGATCTGTGTATCAGTTATTACCTCCCCTTGTTTCATATCACTTCCTTTACTAGGGATGTATTATTGAGCGGCAAATTTGAACTTATAAAAAGCAGCACAATTTTACACCCACAATTGTTTAATTATTTTAAAATTAAATTATAAGGAATTACTCTAATTCTTGGCCAAATTATTCAATGATAACCTGGTTTTGGTCAGTTTACGCGTTTTTATAATCTGCGAAGCGGATTATAAAGCGTAAACTGATCTAAGAGTCATTCCTTAAACATTTATGTAGTTCACGTAATGTATTGTAAATAAATCAATAGTTTTAGATAATGCAATACCTGAATGATAACCCGAGCTTTTGATATAGGTCAAAGATTTCAATTATCAAGGATTACATATGATTTTGTTTTATCAGATGATAATAATTTTATTTTTGATAAAGCTACATCATCTGGCTAACGTGTTTGAATGACTGAGCTCCATTACAGTTTACCAAAATGCACTGGATTTCAAGCATCTTCATGGTATTTCTATGTACATTTTTAGAAGCAGAGAGTCTGTTGTTCCAAGGGCAAACCAATGCGTCGGCATCTAATGGACATTCTGATCCTGATGTGTACAAACAACTTCTTCATTTAGAAAGAGTATTGGATTCTATATTGATGGATCAAAAACAACAAGCTCTAAAAAATCAGCGTTTTGAACAGCAACAAAAGTTACTAAGGAAGGGTTTTAGACACTGAGGCAACGGAATCAGACAGCTCAAATTTAGATATCATTGTTAGAAAGTGAAAACAAAATCTTGAAAGAAAGACTAGACAACTTGAATTCTTCAACCAATCCATCACAGCATGATATTTGCTTAAATGAAAAACTGAATTCAACAACAGCATTTTTACTTCCAGAGAATACAATGCTAAAGACCAATTTAATTTTGAATTTCTTCCATGTTATACAACACAATATGTCTACTTCAGAAGACATAAGAAGGCTGGATAACATCTTTACATTTGAAATAGAGCAGACAGTCAAACACATTGAAGACAAAATGATGAACAACATGTCTGCCACAATCACAGACCTGGAACTACAGCAGATATCTATCATTTTCTCTGTTGGATGTACACAATAACACAGCGAGGTACTCGGAGCGCATGATACTTTAATGATATTATGGACATCTTTGTATATATACCTTCCTATTCATGAAACACATTTCCGATTGCTCCTCATTCTATTATTATCATAACTTTAACTATTGAAACAATTTTTAACATTCAAATGTCAGGTGATGTGTCGACTTTGCACTGTCTTATTTTGAATACATTGTCGATATAGCAATGTTGGACAAAGTCTTTGTTTATCTCTATAGCAGTGTTAAACTATCACTGGCGGATTTAGAGGGGGGCCAGGGGGCCTGGGCCCCCCTTTTGTGTCCCAAAAATTACACAATATTTAATAAATGAAATGTTTTTTGGTGCGGCTGTGGGACCCTACCCTGACCTGAAACTGGGCGGCCCCCCTTTTCAAAATTTCTGGATCCGCCACTGACTATATCAGTAGAAATCTTTTTAGAGTTTTTTTGTTCATTTACATCCTTCACATTGTCGACATCGCAATGTTGGACGATATTGAGTCGACATCGTTTCAACGTTGCATTCTGTTTTCTTGTTTATATTGTTAGCAGTGTCGACATTGCAATTTTGGGCGAAATCAAGTCAACATCTTGTAAACATTAAACCTTTTCTTCTTGTTTACATAAATTACATCGTCTTTAGCACAACGTTCGCGATGAAAACTCAGTCTCAAATCAGCTTTTATTACATTGCGTTGTTGACGATGTTGACACGGAAACTATAACATTGTAGACGAAGTACACTCGAAATCATATCAACATTGTATACAATTCGATGTGAACGTCGACATTAAATGTAGAAATAATATCAATATAGAGGATGTAAATTCGATATCGCGTAAACATTGTGAACAATGCGATCACATCATAATGATGCACGAAAAGCTTAACATTGTCGACACTGCCTTGTTGTCAATGTCAATAAATTATATAGAAGTACTAACAATTTCAACAATATATCGTGTTAAAATTGTCTAGATTGCACATGTTGCAATGTCGACAATATTAATTTGATAAAGTGAAGTGGACATGAATGAACTCGATCAGCATGGCTAACAACATCTCTTTACAGTTTGGATGCACAGAAGCAACAAATGAAGAGTGAGATCCAAGCACTGACAAAGTCACAGCAAAATGAGATCACCCAACTTAATAATACAATTAACCATTTTAAAAATCGTACGTATGCCTACTCTTATTTTTTTCTTTTTGTTCAGAAAAGAACGATAAGTACAGTGTAATAAGAGAGCAACTTTTACTAATTAAGGGACTTATTTGTCCTGAAAAATATTTTTTTTTTAAATACAAGACAAGATAATGATAAAACTGTTAATAAAGTTATTTCATTTTTCTTTTGCAATGGGGGATAAGGGTTTTATTCATATTTTAATTCTTTTCTAGGTTCCTCCCACTTAGTTTTCTAAACTGAAAAATTTTAAAGAAAACCTAATTTCTCCTTATGTGAGTTCTCTCACGAAATGTATGCTTTCTCCACTTTACATTATTTCTATGTTTGAAAAGGGACATAAAAGAAATAGTTAATTCATTGATCTATGCATAGTGTCATTTTACGTAAAAATGTTATAATTAGCTTTAAAACCTAAACTGTTTCACACATTTCATGTTTTTAATACATTGTATATAAAACTATTGAATAATCGGTACAGGTTTATGCATTCAAGATAAACTTTTTGTTTTGTTTTACAAAATAATACTAATTCCTATAAATAAATGAACAATAATTATTAGACTGCAAACACTACCCTCAATTGAATAAAAGATATTCAAGTTTGCAACATTCCCCTTTTTAATAGACCTTACAGAACCTATGACTTTAAAAAAAACATTTTTGACACATAGACATACATCATACAATATCATGTTTGTGGTAATTGGTTGCATTAATTTTACACAGAGATATGAACCTGTTATAAAATTTCAATTTACCATTCATGACAATTATAGAACTCCATTTTATTGTTTGTGTATTTTTACTAGGTGTTCAATCCAATGTAGCTTTTACAGCTGGAATTTTAGGAGAGACAAACGGGCAACATACATATGCAAGTGGAGATATTGTTAAATTTCCAAAATTCATATACCAGGTGGGAGGAGGATACAACCCTACAACAGGAGTGTTTACTGCCCCAAAGACTGGACTCTACATCATATTCTGTACTAATGTGGCAGCACATCAGCAAGTATTTTATACACAAATAATGATTAATGGATCACCAAAGGCAGGAGTCTTGGCTTATGTCCATCCAACTTCTGCGTATATCCATCAGTCAGCCTCAAACCTTGTTGTCCACCAGTTACAGGTTGGGGACAGAGTGTGGATACAAGTATATGATGGTGGTCATCTGTACTCAAACATTCCAGATACAACATTATCTGTGGTAATGATCAATGGATCAGACTGAAACTAACATGTCATCGATTATTTCACTCTTATATGAATCTGAACAACTTCCCACTTTCTCCAGATAAAAAAAATCTTACTCGAATCAATAATTTTAGAAAACTAATGATATAAGAAAAATAAAGATACAATTACTTGACAGCACATCATTCTAATGCCTCTCGTATTAAGAAAATAAATATTTGTAATTTATTATCAATAATTTCCAGTAACCGTTATAGATATTTCATTATATGCAGTTCAGTATAATATGATAAGAATGGTAACGTTGTTTTCATATGATGTTCAGAAGTTGCTATGATTGTAATTTAATCTGACATATAAATAAAATTTATGCATTCCTGCTGTTCTTTTAGTTACTTTTTCCACGTCATGATGGATTACCTAGACAAAGGTTTTGATGTGTTTCATTACTGATGCAGACACTTTCACAGGAAATCTTAGATTTGTGGTTCAATTGTCCACATGAAGATATTGTACCGAAATCAACAAGCACAAATTCATACAATTTTTATATTAAAAACAATTACTTTTAAAGATGGATGGATATAATGAAAGTTAATTGAAATAAATATCAACACTATTATTTTTTCAATATAAAATAGCATGGAGTTTATAAGAAAGTGGAAACTGAAACTGTTACAAAAGATAGAAGAGGTTAAACAATTATTATGCAGCAATTATATGCAGCTGAACTGTCGCTCTGAACAATGAATATTGTTTACAGAGTTGTTTTCTTTACCGAATTATAATATGGAGCACACAGCAACTGTGCCCGGTTGACCGGAGATACGAGGGGCGCTCAATAAATAATGTCATTGGGGCTAAGAAAGAGCAAACGACGCTTTTCAATGATTAAGTCTTCATGATTTTACTTATTAATCTCTTTTAATTCAAACACATGTCCGTTACATTTTTTATCCAATTTCTTATTGTTTTTAGAACTCATTTTTTGGGTATGACCCTTAGTATACTGGAAAATGGCAGATCCAATGATATCCTGGACTTGTTTTTTCCTTATGAAAGGTGTTTTTTTCAAGTTTGGAAATAGAAACAAGTCAAAAGGTCAAAGATCTGGCAAATGTTGTTAATGTGAAAAAACATTAACTTTCTGTTATCCCGTAAACCCCTTTACTCTTTAGGGCATGCGGGTTTGAACGATGCCATGAAGAAATTCAATGTAGTGGATTCCTGATTCTGGGTCCTTTCTCTGATAAACCTTTCGATTTCTTTGCAAAAAAACTGCTTTGTAGACACCTCCAGATATTAAACTGTCTCTCTGAATACGAATTTGAACAATAATACCACTAATATTTAAGAAAATTGCATATAAATCTGTTTTTCTGCTCTTGCAGACCTTTGCTCTTGACAGACCTTCGCCGTTTTTATCAAGTACATCTTATGTTAAATTTTGTTTAAATGCAATAGATTCATGTTTCAATATCTGTTTGAATATAAAATAAACGTGGATTACTACAATTACTGATATTGTAAAATAATTGCTAAGACTTTGGTACACGCTGTCGTTTTCACCTATTTTTCAAAATACAGGGTGACCTTAGAGTACCAAGTTTAATTACTGTCAAACGTTTCTTAAAAACAGTGTAAACTACTCACGATATGATGTCTATCAAATATTCTATGTGTCTTAAAGTCATTCATACAACATCAAATATAATTTGTTGAAATTTGGCAAACAGTACATAAGTTGTTATAATTTTTTTTGGCAAGGAGGGTACCCATTTTTGATACTCATTATATAATTTTTTATCGTTGACCTGCTAATTTATCTATAAAACAGGCATCGGTTGCAGTAAATTTCACATCAACGTATTTCAGAGTATTTTTGGGATTTTTCACAAGTTTTACAGCAGCTTTAATGTAGCTTTTATTTTCACTCTAGTTTACTGATTCTTTACCCTTCATTTATAATGCATTGTCTCGAATAGCCCTTGTTTCCCAGCTTCTCACGACAAAACTATGTGATGAAAAGTGGTCACATAAACTGTTATAAATTCATTAAAGATTCAATAATGAGAGAAAGTCAAGCTTTATGTCATACATGTATGACTACTATGTTGTATGTCATCGAGCTAATGACATTATTTATTGAACGCCCCTCGTATTGTCTTGTGATGCAATTATACACACACATAAGGTATAAATTGCATGTTTAACGTAAGCAAACTTTAGACAACACAAAATTTAACGAGGCTAGGGAGTGGAAGCCATTTTTAGACTATTTCAATCTCCTTTAAAAGGAGAGCTCCATATAAAGATATACAAAATTATAAAATTTTAAAACTAAAATATATGAATTTTTTCTTTGTCAAATGATAGTTGACAGCTAAAGATACCATATGTAAAAAAATAAGTTAAATCTGGTGGTTAATTTGGGATTAATTTGTTGACTCACCAGCCTCCTTAAAATGTTAATGATGGAGTAGCAGTTTATTAACTTGTGTCAGTAAAGTGAAATCTATATGTAAAAAAAATTACACCAAACAATCTGACATCATCTAAAATGTAAATGAGACAAATGTATGTTTATAACATACAAATAATAAAATATATTACGACAAATGGTACAATGATCATGCGTGACATTTTTGCAAGTAAATGTGTAACCCATCGATCAAGCAACAACAGTTACAGAGTCCTATTATCTACTTATAATTCCATAAAATACTCCCTCTATCAGCTATTTTACAAATCCTTATAAGCTAGAAAGAAATCAACACAGTAAAATATCACAATAAAACAGATGTACATCGAGTATTAAAAATAATTTGGAACAGAAATTTTTAGATAGCACAGATTGGAAACTCTCTATTGCTTCTTAATGCACTATATGTTTGCTTAGCTATAATGCCACTTTACACCACTCTAACTCTAAATCCTCACGGCCACAATGAAGTTCCTGCTTAACTGCTACAAGAACAATCTTTAGTATTGACCTTGTCTGTAGCTGCCTATAAAAAACAATTTAACTTCCGTAAATCTACTCTAGATTATTAACAATCAAGAAAATGAAAATGTTTTATGACAAATAAGGATGCAGGCACAAAATGATAATAATGACGTCAGCAGTTTGATCAGAAATCGAATAACAAAGAATAACAAAATATTTCCTATTATATGAACAAATCATGCATAAATATTTAACATGGCTAGTAGACAAACACTCTAAATATTAGGCAACAATACCTGGGTAGGAATTCTTAACCTCCTTTTTTAGATTTAACAGAGATATCAAGAGATATATATTCTTATATATATATGCCCTGGAAAAATAAGATGTTTCGGCATTCAATATTGATTTATTAGAACTTTTTCATGATTCAGAACATATACAACTCTTGTTAATGTAAAACTTTCACCAGATTGAACATTTTTTTTATCAAAAGTAAGTAAAGTCTTAGTACTGTTATGGGTCAGAATAACCCTAAATGCCAGCAAAGATCAATCACACAGTTTAAACTTAACAATAATTTATTTACAGTAATATACAAATCATTAAGTACAAACTTAGCAAAAATCTAAAAATACATACTTCAGAGTGTCCGTTGCTGCACACAATGTCCCAGTGAAAATATATCCCAGTAATACCTCAATGATGCTTATACGACAAATTTCTCTCTGCATCGAATTGACAGGGTATTTATACAGTATCATAAATCTAGAATATTCTAGAAATTGTTAAATCATGATATTCCTGGAAAGTTCTGGACATGAATAAAGAAAAAAATGACCAAACATATTGACCACTCTGGAATGTTCAAGAAACTTAATGTTACTAATAATATACATGATGAAACAATACACATCTCACAACACCTCCCCCTTAAAAGTTTGAATGTCAATGAAAACTTATCTTGTTAAAACATATGTACATTAATACAAAATCTAATTTGTTCATGATACTCTGGACAAGGCATCTGCAATAACATTGTCTTAGCCTTTGATATGCTTAATTGTTATGTTGTATTCTTGTAACAACAAACTCCATCTAGTCAGTCTTTGATTCTTGTTTGACAATTTATGCAAAAATGTCAGGGGGTTGTGATCCGTATATACAAGAATTGGATGCAAAGTAACATTCAGATAAACATCAAAATGCTGTAAGGCTAACAACAAAGCAAGGCATTCCTTTTCAATTGTGGAATACTTTTGTTGACATTTTGTAAGTTTCTTTGAAAAATAAGAAACAACTCTATCTACATTATCACTATGTTCTTAAAAACAAAGCTGCCCCGATTCCAACATCACTAGCGTCAACAGTAAGCTTAAATTGCTTGGAAAAATCTGGAGTTGACAGAACTGGGTTGCTCATAAGGACAGATTTGATTTTATGGAAGGATTTTTCACAGTCCTTTGTCCATTCAAAATTAACCCTCTTTTGTAAAAGATTTGTAAGTGGACTTACAACTGAGGAAAAATCTGGACAAAATTTTCTGTAAAACCCAGCCATGCCCAAAAACCTCATTAACTCTTTCTTGTTTGTAGGAATCGGGAACTTTGCAATAGCTTCCACTTTAGCCATAATAGGTGTAACATAACCTTGACCTACTTTATGACCTAAATACTCTACATAGGCATGACAAAATTCGCTCTCTCAAGGTTCACAGTTAAGTTTGCTTTAGCTAAAATGTCAAATAAAGCACGCATGATTCGGAGATGTTCGTCCCATGTGTCGCTGTATATGATGACATCATCGATGTAGGCCTCGCATCCCTCAAGGTCTTGAAGAAGGGAGTGAATCATCCTTTGGAATGTAGCCGTGGTTTTTCATGCCAAAAGGCATTACTTTATACTGGTAAAGTCCATCTGGTGTAGCAAAAGCAGATATTTCTTTTGCTCTTTCTGTTAACGGTACTTGCCAGTAGCCTTTCAACAGGTCAAATTTACTGACAAATTTCGCGTTTCCAATGTTGTCAATACAGTCATCGATTCTAGGTATTGGATATGAATCAGTTTTGGTAACAGAATTCACCTTTCTAAAGTCTGTACATAATCGGTAGGAACCGTCCTGTTTTGGTACAAGAATACACGGTGAGCTCCAATTACTTTTACTAGGTTCAACAATGTCATTGTCCAACATATACTGCACTTCCCTTCTTAGGTACTGCAATTTT